CTTTACACTCTAGGCCATCTCCTGCTCTTTCGTTCTCTGCTCTTCTCAATTTGGAAGACTCCAAGATTTCCCTATTTTGAGCTGATCTTTTTGCTGGACTCCCTGCACTTGTTTTCAGGTTGTTGAAGATAACCGTCACAAAGATTCCCCCGCATTCGCTGATCTCTGAGCAGGCGTTTCTGAAATTGAATTTGTCAGCTTTTCCCCGGACCTGTTCACCCGCCTGCATTCCCTGCACCTTTCAGTTCTGTCACCACCCTTGCAATCATGCCTGAAACCTAAGTGTCCTCTTCTTGGGTCTCCTCCTCCTCGCTCCCGGTGTTCCCTTAGTCACTAAGGTCTGTGACTTGTGTCCATTCTCTATCATCCTTTCCCATCATTCGCCTTGTTGGGTTTCTCCTCTCTTGCAGGCCTTCGGTATGTTCTGTCTGTATCCTTGTGGCAGCCCATGGCTGACAACTCTGCCTCTGTACGTTCCTTTTGGAGCAACCTGAATGGTGTCACATATGTCTGTCCAGAACCTTCAGCAGTCCACTCCATTGACAACAGAGCCCAGCTCCTTAGCTTGGCACTCCAGGCCTTCTGTGATCTCTCTGCAAACTCCTTCAGCATGTTTCTGGTTCTCCTTAATTCCCTTTACATACCCTCCACTCTAGTCAGACCCTCCCCCTAGCATCTTGCCAGTGTGTCCCTTCTCCTCTCCCTCTGCGTGAAATGCTTTTTCTCCCTTCTTTGTTTTGTGTTCATTTATTAGTTCATGTATTCTACAACCATTGACTGAGTTCCGTGTTTGTGCCAGGCCCTGCTACATATTAGATGTACAGAGATGATGCAAATAGCTGTGGTTCCTGCCTTTATTGGTATTTTAAGGGGAGAGTCAGATAACAAACGAGAAACATGTATGAATAAAATAGGGTGATTATATGAAAAAAAATGCATCTGGCGTTTTAAGAGACAGTGAAAGAAGGAAGGAGGCTAATTTTACCTTGTGTGGTCAGAGAAAAACTTTCCAAGAGGGTGATATTTAAGTGAAGGTTTGAAAGATGAGAGAGTTGGAAAAGAACCTTCTCGGCAGGTAGGACAGCATGTGCAAAGGCCCTGAGTGGGGTGAGCATCAGTCTTAAATAAGCTGAAAGACTCTGATCTTTCATCTACTGAAGTTTTCCTTTTTTTCTCACATGTCCACCGTATTCCTCCCCTTACCAGATACCATCTTTAGTTGACTCAGCTAGATTCATCTCTGCCTTGCCTATGCATGGATACTGCTTTGGTTTTTCATTAAATTACTTGTCCATTTTGGCTCATGTTGAATTTATTAAATGAGTGTCCTTTGAATTCTTTGAGGACAATGCCTGTACACCATCCTTTCCCATTTTTCTTCGTTACCTTCTCAAAGAGAGACTTCCATCTAATGAAAGTTTACAGATTATCTTGTGAATTATTGATTGATGTTGCAAATGTAACTCAGAAATTAGCTTACCTTTAGCCAAAAGTGGAGCTTACATTGTTGACTCCTTCTCCTGACTCCTTTGCTGACCCTTCTGGACTTCGTAGAATCTTTTCAATCCTTAGACTTAACCTTCTTTTCTGAAGTATGCCTTGTTTTCCACCTCAAGAGGAGTTGGTGTTAGTTAATACCCTTTTTCAACTTCCCATGGGACCAGAGAGCTGGCATGATCTGACACTCATGCATTGAACTTGGGAGTTTCAGCTAGGTTTTTTCAGTTCTGGGCTGAGATTTGGGTGAGCCAGAATGTTGGTCAAACCAGCTGGCCTACAGGTTTTGGTCTTGAACAGGCCACTCTGTTGATTGATGTGGATGGCCAAATGTGGTTGAGAGCTTGGAAATTTGTTGACAGTGTGAATCAGCCCAATTTAGTGGCCCTTCACGTTGGTTGAATCTCATGGTGGAGCAAGAAATGAGGGCAAATGTAGAGATACTTATAAATCTCATGCCTTTTTTGGTTCTTCTTCTTCTTCTTTTTTTTTTTTTTAAGTGGTTTGGCTCCCTTGACCAAGTGAAATCTTACTTGGAATCCACCCCTCAACACACGTATTTAAAATAAACAAAAGTTGAGTTCTAATGGTTGGCTAGGGGCAGGAGTTCATAGCTCCTTCTTGTTTTTTCATTCGACAGATACTTATTAAGCACTTATTTTGCCAGGGACTCGGCGAGAAGCTGAGAAGACAGTTATACACCAGGAAGTTGAGTGACTTCCAGCTCAGAGCAGCTGGTCTGCCCTCCCCACCCTCCACACCACAGGGGCCCCTTGGAACAGAGTTTGAAAACCACAGTCTGTAATAAGAAGAGTAAAACGAGGACACCTTGCATGTTATTATCTGACATTTATCAGTTAGTATGGTCCCAGAACAGTCATACAAATGCAGAACAGTGCTCTTTATTATTTTCTCGGCAAACACTTGGAGTATAGCAGCTGCCATATGCATTTCCCTCTGCCTTGAAAAACTTTCCTTTCCTTTTCAATCACTCCTTGCCTCTTAAGGGTGACTTGTCCCTTCCTCCCACTCCCAGCCTGGAGATTGTTTGATGGGACTGTTTTGTTTCTCCAGTTGGACCATTGGTTTCTTTTTTGCAGGTAGAGGCTGTGTGAGATTTTAAGAATCTTCTGATTTTAGACTCCAGTTAAGATACCACTGAGATTTAGCTGGCATTTCTGATTTTTAGGCATGTGGTCCCCACTGCTGTTGGTTAAGCCCCCAGCACCCATAGGGTGGAGTGGTGGTAATAGCATGAACCCAGAGGCAGGAGAAACCAGACCTTAAATCCTGCTCTACCTGCTGTGGGGCCCTGGCCAAGGTGCTTATCTCAGGTCCTTTCCTCATCGGTGACATGGCTAGGTTATGGGGAGGACTCTGAATGAGATTAGGAATGCACCCCACTCAGTACCAGCAACAGAGGCCAAAGCTTATAGAAGATGGACATCTTCCTTATTATGACCTGAAAGCCTAAGAGGGAGTGTTGGATCTTCCCGAATTGACAGCAGAGGAGGTGGTGCTTCTGTGTGCCTGATTTCCAAGATCATTGTCCCTTCTTTACTACCATTGGTCAGACTGTTATTAAAGTATCTCTCAGCCCTGTTCATTGTTACTCACTGAAAAAGGTGCGTGTTCTGGCAGAGATGTTAACATCTGTTTAGGCTGCTATGCCTTTATAGATTTGTGGGTGTATTTAGGGCCACACATAGAATCCTGTTACCAGAACAAGCCAGCTAAATGGAACTGAAGACATCCCAGGCTCAGGTAGATCCCACGTAGAATAGGGGGCGGTAATAGTGTTTTCCTGCCAGGTGCCAGCCAGTCATTGTGGGAGGGAGAGTGCTGGGGCCCACAGGGAATGACTGAAATACAAACAGGCCAGCCCAGGGTGCCCCTGGGATGGCCCCATGGGCTGCTGCCCTCCCAGCGCTGAATCCTGTCTTCTTTGTACCCATTTCAGAAACATGTCTGAGCATACCAGCTGGCAGGAGATGCTACTTGTGCTAGCAAAAGCTAGCAAAAATCCCGGATGCCTTATAAAGTGGAGCAGTTTGTGAGGGGAGGCAAAGGGCACACCTTCAGGATTAATGGGTTTTTTTCTTGGCAGAAATCCAGGTTGAGTCGCTGTCCTTGCCAAAGGAACATCACCTCCAGGGCTGTGTCTCGGATGTTCTGAGCGGCTGGTTGGTCTGGGCGGTGGGAGCCCAGAGCCTCCTCCTCTCTGTTGGATGCGAGCTTGGACTTGCTAAAACCCTAGTGTCTCTCTGCTTCCTCATCTGTAAAATGGGCTTAATAACCTCCGGGGAAGGAAGGACTCATTGGCTTTGTGTGGATTCATAAATTCACCCCCAGAAAGTGCTTTGAAGACATGAAACTCATCCACAGGCTTGGAGTGGGAGAGAGGGTATAGTTCATGGGGATAGAGCTCATGATTAGCATGCACGATGTCCTGGGTTCAATTGCCAGTACCTCCTCTAAAAATAAATAAGTAAAATCTAACCACCTCCCTCCCCCCCAAAAATTTTTTAAAAATACAAAAAATTAAACAAAAATAAATAAATAAAGGCTTGGAAGTGTCGGAAGTGTGCGTGGTTGGAGGTGCTGCTGCCTTGCATCTCCGGTTGTCCTGTGTGTGTGTGTGTGTCACTCCGCCGAGAGTGAGGTTGGTTCTAGCTCCTTCCCAAAAGTGTGATAACTCAGCACCCGTCATCAATTAGCTACTTCTAGGTCTGATTGGAAAGACTTGTTGCAACTTAGACGATTTTTCTTTTTCGGGTTTCTTTTCAATTATTTTTCCACACTTCAGATTGATTTGAAACAGGTTTTCGGCCTGGATCAGGTGGAAACCTGTTCTCAGTGGTGGACTCTCCTGACCACCTGGGGAGGGTGAGAAGACAGGTGGAGATGACGGGGAGGGACCCTGTGCGCCCACTACTTACAGTGTGTGGTCCCTGGACCAACAGCTTCAGCATCACCTGGGTACCTGGTCCCCACACCCACTCCCCAACCTACCACCTACTGAATTGGTCTGTTTTATTTACCTAGATGGCCAGGTGTTTCGTATCTATATTAAAGTTTGAGAAGCACTAGAACATTTTAAGTTACACGTATTTTTTTCTAATAGGACTCGGGAGTGTCGGGGAGGATGGTGCTAGGTTGAGAAGTTCATGTTTATGCTGATGCTATTACATGCTCCTTTCTTCCGAAGTATCTACATTATCACTCCCCTTGATTTCTGACTTCCTTTATGTGTTGTCCTTGACTTGTGTTAGAAAGCTGTGAAGTGTGACTGAAACCAGCGGTGAGTTAATGTTTCCTGTTCCACATCACACCATTAAAATGTCGCAATGTCTCAGAGGAGAAGATGCTAAGGACCCAGACTACTTGGTGACTGCAGGCTGCCTTAAGAGCTTGGGCTGGGTGGTTTGAAAATTTCAAGAGGAAGCAGCTCATGAAATGATGAAATAGAGACCCAGGGCCACGTCAAGAGGGGATCTGATTATGACTTGTGCTCCTGAGTTGCTTAGATGGAGGTGCTCCATCAGCAGTGCAGAGGCGGCGGGGGCGCTAATCATAGGCAAGTGAACAGGGCTCTGGTTTTGTTTAAGAGAATTGTGGTAGGTGGGGACGGTTTTAAGAGTACATCTGTTGTTCCAAGAGAGGGCTTTGGGTAAGTGGCTTGGTGACATCATACCACTTGGATAAAAGAGGAGTCAAGCCAGCTGTTCTCTGGGCGGGAGGTCCTGAGACCAGTGGCCCCCCCTGGTTCTAGGGCAAACCATTTATTATGCAGGTGTTTCTGTCCTGAGTCTGGCTGGTGACCGACGTTTGCATATTGCGGTTTTCCTAAAATAGGATGGACTGTGATTTATTGCCATGCGTTGGGTAGATGGCCCTCAGACAATTTGTGCTTCTTTGGAAAAAAATGTCAAATTGTATAAATTCAAGATTATTTAGGAAACGCAGGCAATTTTGATTGCCTTATTGAATAAAAAGATAACTTGATTGCCCTAGCAGAGAGAAAATATTGAAACCCCATGTAGCTTTATTCTCTTCTCTGAAATTATGAACAGGGCATAAATTTACCTGAGGGTGGAGGATGGCGTCGCCTCTCTACATTCACCTCTAATTAGTTTAATTTTTTTTATCCTGATGTCAAAATTCAGGAAAATTATACTCATTCACTTTGTCCTGCAGTTTCATCCTTTCTTTGCTTACACATATGTGGTTTTCCCCGAAGAATATGTTGCTCAGGGCTCTTTTTTGACTTTGGGAGCAGTGGTGACAGTTTATCCTTTGGTGTGTCTGTCCCTGGCAGATTCGTCACATCCTTTGTGACATGCGCACTTCTAGTGTCATTTCTCAAGGCCATCCTAGGGTGAGGCTTCGTGGAACGCTGACACTGTTGAGCTCGATGTTAGCGGAAAGACGGTCTTAGTCCTAGACGATTTCGCTTAGTGGGCCGGGGACTCACCAGGCAACAGTCAGGATAGGAGGCAGAAACTTAGATGCATGGTGTCAGGTCAGGAAAGCTGCTTTATTCCTAGTTGCTTTTGGTCACTGTCTGCTTTCCTGATCAGTCAGCACCTTGGGTAGGGGCTGGCTTGACATACATGTATATGTGCGGGTTTGCTTTTTTCAGCCGTAAGTACTATAGCAGCACACAATCCAAGGTTGATTGAATCCGCAGATGTGGAGGAACATCCGACAGGGAGGGCCGACTGTAAGTTATACGCAGATTAACCCCCCGAGTTGTTCAAGGGTCAGCTGTATGCATTCACATGTCTTTGTGGGTATGTGTATGTCTCTGTATCTGTTGATGTGTTAATGTTTGTGTTTGTGACCTTTAGAGGCATATACCTTAAGAGACATGTGTCTATGTCACTATGTCTATATGTAGACGTATTTTTAAAAACATTTTAGGGCATATCTTGATGGAAACATTCAGGATCCACATATTTCATCTACTACCTGGGGGAGAGCCCTGAAGCTCTGAGCAGGGAAGTGACTGCCTGGCCTCTCGAGGGACACAGACATCACACCTTAGCTTTCCTAATACTTGCTCTAATGTGGTGTGTCCCCTTCCATGTCACCTTCCCATGCAGCTACACAATTGCTTGTCAGACTTCACACCCTCACTTTTGCCATCTCTTTACATATTTGTATATAATGTTCTTTATTTTTTCTTTAAATTGGTTTTAAAATATTTATTAGTTAGTATTTTTCATAAAAGAACATTTCAGAATTTGTCCATTATTGAACAACCAGTAAGAAGGAAAGAAAACCATAAAAATAAATATTTATCATATATATATGTCTGTGTGTATATATATGTGTATGTGTGTGCACACGTAGGAGCACAGGGGTGTCTGTCTCCATTTGCCACCTAAATCCATCCTTTGTACCTTCTGTGGCACTCACAGCACACTTTGGGAAGCCCTGAATTAGACAGAAACCTCCAGCTTTGCCAATGATGTGGCAAGTGCAGAGATCAGTCTAGAAAATTCATTGCCCTGAGTACGTGCTGGGTGGGATGACCACTGTTGATGCAGAGTCAGTTCCTCTCTTACCTCTTGGTAGCAGGTGTTGGCTACAGCCTTGAGTGGGATGAGCCCAGTCTCACCCAGGGCCGAAAGCATCTGTAAACATCTACTTTGGATTTTTTTTTTCTTCACACTTCTGCTGCAAGGGTAGAGGCTGTAATTTGGGATATGATTTTCCCTTTCCCCTTACGTATCATTGACTTGTGATTCTTAAATCCTTACGTTATCCTTTTAAACATACATGTAACTGATTTAGTAGATGCTTTCCTGATTCTTCACCATGATATTGGCCCCGAGTGAATAACTGGAATAAAATATTAAGATTGGGATTGCCCCAAACTAATCTTTTAGTTTCGATATATAGGCTGTCTTTAGATTTTTGTATCTGAGGTGGTCATAGTAAAATGTGGTTCTGACAGTTAATAATTTCTTTTTCTGTTAGTGTTCTTTTGAGTGGAGGAGAAAATTGAACTCTTTTATCACTTCCAAATAATAATAAAAAAGAACCAGCATCGAGTTTGTATATTATATGAAACAGGAGATGGAAGCAAACTGCTGTTTTCTGTCCCTGTCGTTTGAACCCAGCTCCCTGAAATGAATGGTGCATTTACGTTAAGCATCCAAGAGGGAGAATTCAAGAAAAATGCTGCTTAGCGTTTGCTATGCTGTGCTTCCTTTTCCTGTGCAGGAGAATATGCGCATTGCCTTTCTGTGGACGCTCTGTCACATCCTTGCAAAGGTTCTGTGGGGCTCCATGCATCTTGCTGAGTTGAGCCTTGTGCCAGCTCGGAGAGTTTGATTGTTTTTGCTAATAGAGACAGATCTGTGTCATTAGAGATACCCAAGTGCGATGCTGCCTGCATTCTTCTTGAGTCTGTGGTCACAGAAATCTCCTTGGCTTTAGGTGCAGTTCAGTGGAAACACACACACACACACACACACACACACACCCCCACACACACACAAGCACACAGAATTTGACTGTGGAGTTGGCAAGGAATACGTGAGCCAAATTTGGCCTGTAGAAATTAACACTGGCAACTTCGTGAGTAAAAATTACATGAAAAGCACTCATGAGGGAAGGAAGAAGGGGAAAAAAAAAAAACTAGGATAACAGTGCAACAGACCACATTTCCTATCCAGTCTGTCTTCTCGAGGCTGTTTGTCTAAACAGCATTGCCAGTTTTTCTAAACAGTACTGCTGGTGTCCTCGATCTGTAATATGAAGTGAATCGACTATGCGGACCAAATGCTCGTTGAGTTGAGAGTTCCTTTATTTGGCCAAATTAAACCCAACAACCTCAGCTCTGTCCAAACTTGCGCTAGTACAGGGCCAGCTGAGCCTGTCTCCGTTTGTAGATCTGCAGAGAAAAATGAAGTGATACATTAACTGTTTCCTGTCCCTTGGAGGAAAAGGAATTTAGTGCCATGTAAAATTTAATCAATTTTTTTTGTCTCTGAAAAGCTGGAAATATAATACTTGGAGATTGCCTCTGGTATGAAAAAAAACACAAGAGGTTCCGTGTGGTTTTTAAAAAGGTAATGTATGACTCTTATAATCTTGTGTGGATTGTCTCTAATTTCCCTCTGCCATCCTTAGCATCAGCTAAAGAGGACAGTCCAGCAATGCAGTGCTCATGCTGAGGGAGGAGAGTTTGGAATAGTTTCTGGTTTTGATTTTGGTGCTGGGTCTTACCTATCTCAGTCCACAGGATCAGATACAGAGATAACTGGAAGTCCAGAATCAATAATGATGGAGCATAGCCAGTGTGAAACAGGTGCCAGGATAAACCATCTGTAAATTCCATGCTGGGCAGGGTTGGGGCTCACAGTGTTTATTTGCATCCTGTGGACCACTGGACCAACCCTGAGGATGCTGTGTGTCTCTACCATTTGCCTTCAGAACCCCCTTCCTCCCAACTCCAGCTCTACCTGTTATCTTACATGTATTTGAAGAATTGCTTTGGGCATTTTTTAGAACCTTCTCTAATTTTTGCATATGCTTGTAATCCAGTGAATAAGTTTGGACAGTTTTTGTCACAGACTGACTGGCATCATTTCAGTCTGCCCTCCATTTGGCAGCATGAGTGATCTTTCCAAAATGCCAATATGATCACGTCCCACTCACCTGTTCACCAAACTGAGGTCCCGTCATTGGCCTCCCACTACCCTTATGGTAAAGACAAAATTCTGTCACAGACTCCGTACAGCCTTTCTAGTGTGAGTTCTGCCTCTTTTTCTGTGCCGCCCCCTCCCCCATTTTCCTGCGGCAGCCACTCTGGTTATGTTTTATTTTGATCCTTGGTGCCACAGGGTCTTTGCATATTCTCCTTTTGCCTGGGGTATGGCTCCCTCTCTTCTTTACTTGTCCTTCAGCTCCCACCTCAATTGTAACCTCCTCCGGGAATCATTCCTTGGTCAGTCTGCCTTTGCCAACACCCCTCTTAAACTCTCTCCTGGCCTCATTTAACTTGCCTGTGTGGCATTCATCCAATATAGTTTATATTTAGCTTGGTTTCTGTACTGAATAATATTTGTCTTCTCACCAGCTCCAACAGGCAGGAATATAACTTTCTGGGTACCTTTGTATTCTGACCTCTAAACACAATGCCTGGCACAAAATAAATACTTTGCAAATATTACTTCAGCAGATGTCTCTAGTAGTTGGTCTGTTGTTCCTGTTTTAAAAGATGCTGAAGTCTCAACTTTGGATTATTTTGAGCCCTTTTGAAATCCTATTTTAGAACCAAACCAAATGGTCTACTTATAGACCAAGTGGTTACTCTTTAAGTGGTTTGTTTTATCAGTTTTCTGAAGTTGCCTTTATGTTACAGGGCTGAGGTTCTTTTTGGGGGATGGGTGTGGTCATGTGTTTTGTGGGGTTAAGGGCAGTTTGTGGTCATGACTATTTTGTAGTCAAAGGACCCAAATATTAGATAGTACAGCCTATAATGGGGGGAAAAGAAAAAACTAACATTTGCGTTTTGTTCTGCTTACACTTGGCACTTTCTAATAACGCCTGTCCCTCCCTCTCCCCCACTCCTCTCTTCACTTGTGTTACGGAACCCTTTATGGCCCCACAACCATGCATAAGCCACTTAGCATCCTTTAGCCTCAGCGTCCTTATCTGTGAAATGAGAGTTGGATTACCTGGTGTCCAACTTCCCTTCTGGCTCTGACATTCTAGGTTTTATTTGTATAAATATTGGCTTTCACATCAAAGACTCAGGTTCAAAGACCTGTTTCTATGTTTACATCTTATAAAGTTTCATGGAGGCTTGGAACATTTTTGTTATTAATAGGATTTAAAATTATACTCATAACTTATAGATTGATTGAAAAAGTATTATCATACTTAAGATACTCACTTTTTTAAAAATCACTAGGATCCTCATTCCCCCCCCCCTTTTTTTTTCATGAGACTTTAAAATAGGTGATCTATGAGTAAATAAAAGATTCTCTAGACAAACCAGTTTAGGCCACATTTAGCTTTTTTCGCCTAGCCTCTGAAATATACATGTGTCTTGTGAATTTCCAAGGCGTGGGATATAGGATACTTATTACTTTAATACAGATCTGTTTCCATGGCAAGAGTGCTAATGTCTGGAATACACTATGTGTATTTGTGTATTGGGGATGGTGGGGAGAAGGTTCAGATGACCTGAAGCTATTAATGAGAACTTAATGCTGTACTTCCAAATACCTGGATTTCTCATAAGGTGCAATTGTAGTGTATTTGGGGAGTGCTCTTTAATTATTTTTTGGTTATCGTTGATGAACAGTGACAGCCACAATAAGAAAGTGCCAGGAGGATATAGTGTTCTGAATGAAAACATGGCAATGGATTGTTAACATGAAGCCAGATGCGGGATTTGAAACCTGAACCGTGACACTGTTAGGCTGTGCTGATGCATCAGCAAGTACTGTTTAAAATGTCAAGTGACTGATCTCGAGTACCATTTTTATCTTGTGTGCTTCATGACTGGTATTCCCTACCCATGGCATTGTCATTAGGACAGTAGTCATTACAGACAAGGCTGGAGAGGCACATTTGAGACCCAGGCCTTCAGGTTCTCTTCCTGTTCTGCTCCTTCTTCTTGTGCCCTCCCCTTTCGACCTTCATCAGAGAGCTGGAGGGCGTCTAGAAGGCTCCCTCCAAGAGCTGCTATCAGAATAGTCCTTGGGGCAGAGAAAATTCCCCCTCATTTGTTTCCCTTCTGTCAATAATTGGCAATGAGACCTTAAATCTTACCCAGTGAGTCCCCCAGTTTGCAGACAAACACGTTTGTGGAGAGGTGAAAGATGGGGGTCTACATAAAGCAGTGTGTGGGATGTTGGAGGTGCGGCTGAGCTGAGCTGTCCCTCTGTGTCTAGGATGTCCCCGGCTTTCCTAAGCCAGGGCCAGGGCCCAGGTGGATGCTGGCCAAGTGCTTCCAATGAGAAGGTCCCCAAACTGGGTGTGGAGGCCAAAAATGGTGGTCTGTGTGACCTGTGCTTTGGAAACCTGAAGCAGTGGGTGGTTTCCGACAGCTGGTGCCCAGATGAGCCTGGGATCAGGAAGTCCCCATCACTCCCTAGAGACAGCTCAGGTGGGTGATTGGAAATTGTTCTAGAACTCTATCTGAAAAGGAGTTAGTTCTGCTGTTAAACGACTTGGATGGCCAGCGGGAATGGCATTTGGGTTGCTTATTTGACTTTCTTTGCCCTTCATGGCCACCACTCCCATGGGTGGGTGGAGCATGCAGCTTCTCACAGAGCTACCACTGTGTCGGGAGGGATATGGTGATGGCTTTGAGTATTTCCTTTCTGCCCTGCATCCTTCCTGCCTGTATGCCTTGCATTCTTCCTCTCATCCTTGTCTCCTTGCCTTAATTACGTACCAGTTTATTTCACAAAGGGTAAATGCCAGTTGCTCAAAGAGATGAGGTAGAAGAAAAGAAAATAAATGCAGGTAGGTAATGAGAAAAAATCGCAAAATTGTTACTAGTACCATTTTGTGGTATTTCCTGCCATTGTTTTCCCAGGCCTGTGAGTGTACACACCCATATAGATTTTCAGAAATGAGATCATATTGTGCATGTGCTTTGATAATTTGTCTTTTCCATTTAAAATGTATCGTGGAACTTAACTCTGATATCTAAAATACAATAGATGGATAGAGGTATGTGGTAAACCAAGAAGAGGAAACTGTTACTATGTAGCATCTAGGATTTGGGAATATGAGTGTTAAATGAATAGTCTTTTCTGGATGGTTGTGTAGTTCCATAAAAAAAAATGTTGTGGGAGAGGAATCCAGTGAGGGATGAGGAGACAGAAATTAAATGAGTAGTAAAGGTGTAGTATAGATAGAGTAGACGTCTTGCTATGTCATTAGTAGAGATGTATGTCATTCATTTTAGTGACAGCCCCGCATTGTATCATATGCTTATATTGTCATTTATCTAGCCACTTCCTTATTGGTTGGATTTTTAGGGTGTGGTGTTTTAATTAGCTGAATAGCTAGTTGATTTCCCATCCTCCTCATCTCCCTTTGTTTTCAAAGGAAAGGAGCCCCAGGTATGAATTTGGGCAGCTGGTCCATTCCTATACACCAAGATGTAAAGCACCTCTTGTTATTTCGACTTTGCCTTTTTTCTCTTGCTAAGTATGTGGACAGGTGGCACATTAATTCTCCAGTTGGTTTGCCTATATTAAGCAGGATAGTATTTTTAATTAGACAAACATATTTAACCCAAAATGTGTTTATTCCCCCTTGTCTTTCTTTTTAAAAATTTGTGTACACTGTGGGTTAGTCTGTTGTGGTACCCAGGTGCCCAGGTTGAAGGTGGAGGAAAGGTGGGTTGACCTATGATGCTCACAAGATTTACAGGAAGGAGCCCAGTTTCCCCTGGGATCACAACTCCTGTGGGAGGACCCACTTTGTCTTCCTTTATCCTTTCTTTCTATTCTTCATTCAAAGAGAAAATTCAGTTGCATCATTTCGAAGTATTCAGTGTGATGTATCCCTCCTGGTTAACATTCACTTCCTGGGGTAGCTGGGCTTTCCTGTGCCCCATCTGCCCTTTGCATTATGTTTCAGTCTCTGGCCTAGGTTCACTTGGACTTGAGTACCCTGTTGTTTTTAACCCCTTACCAGAGTCATAGCATTGAGAGAATGACAGAAAAAGCACTGGGGCCCCTGGGACCAGAATAGGAAGTATGGCGGGCACGTCAGCCCTGTAAACCTACTCTTTACCCCACTCTGTAAATATCTCACAATCTTTTCACAGAAGGTAGTTTGAGAGAGAGTAATTTTGAGCCCTTGTGGAGTTTCAGGCAAGGC